CTTTCCAATGCTTTGTCTCGCTCGCACTCGCTTAGTAGACGCGCCTGCGCATAATGACGCTCGACTATCTATGCCCATATTTGGACTTCGTGCGTCTCTCTTTCTCGGGCCTCGTGCCTCTCATTGCGAAGATACGCGAGCAATATAGCTAGCAATATAGGAGTATTATATATATGGTAATATTGGTTAAGAATAATTTCAAACTAACTATTATATTGTTTGTTTGAGAGAGTTAATATGTCTTGTTTGTAAATTAACAATCGTATTTATATCACATAGACAATCACTGAAGAAGATCTGAATCACAGATCAAAACGTTTGATTAATATTTAGAAAAATAAAGTAACATTTACAAAAAAATACACAAACACCTAGTATAATTGCTCGTATAGCCTTATTCTTTATTATTAAGTTTTTAACAAGTATATACAATTATTTAATAACATATATATAACACAATAATACATATAACAAAGTGTTGGAAGGACTTGCAGTTTTTAAATTTCTTTCTGTGGATTCTAATCATATGTGGCAAGAAATTTTTTTATTGCTTTTATCTGGTGTAAAAGTATTAAAATAATTAATTATTTTAACCAATTAAATATTTTTTTTATTTAGGTTTAAGTTTTCTTACTTTTTTTCCAAAAATAGTATGTAAATATTTACAGTGTAGTTAAGTTCGGTGAGTAAAAATAAATAAGTTAAAAGTGAATGCGTTGCCGAACGAGTTGCAGGATTCTAGGCAATTCAAAAAATCACTGTCATGTGAAGTAAATAACAAACGTTTTGACTTTATTTTAAGTTCTTCTTCAGTGTTGTCTAAAAATACATAATGATACAATCAAGTAAGTTTAGTAATTAATCTAATCGTAACATAAATAAAAGTAATATAACAAATTTATTTTACCTACCTTTGACCACACATTTTCACATCAATAACGTTGACATATGATGTTGACGAGTCAACGATAGCTGGTAAACTGAAATTTGATGTGTATGCGGCCAAAAGCAAGTTTAGGGTTTTAAATTTTCCGGAAAATTATTTTTTGGAAAAATTTCCCGGAAAGTTTTCGAATTTTTCCAAAAAAACCAAAAAATTGGAAAAAATTTTTTTAAAGAAATACGGTTGATTTGGCAATTAAGTGTCAAACTTGCAAAGAAAGTGAACATTTTCTTTATTCTAATATTATTGATACTTTGCAATATGCCAATACGCATTATGAATCATTCGTCCAATACGCTCACAATTTTGCATTCCCGCGACTATGAACTGCTAATAATGCATTTATATTAATAATGCATTATAGACGAAAGGTGATATTTTGTTGCGGTAGCGGTCGCGGTAGTTGTTATGTGACGTGAGCCTAAGGAATAGGTTTGGCCCGTTCAGGCCGTATTATAGCATAAGAATCTTGGTCTCAAATAGACAAGGTAAGTATGCTACATTAACACACTGTACGATAAAGAATCTTGTTTTACTCGATTTTTAAGCCAAAAGTCGATGAAAATAGTTTAATATTTCTGGATGAATTGAAAAAGTTAATAGATAGGTTAAGTTTCCTCCTAACTAAAGCTGTGGCTATTCAAGTTCAGTGATTCGATATTTTGAGTTGACCCGACAATTCTTTTATTTCACGCCTCGCAGCCATTGCTAAACTACAATGGGGCGCACGAAGTCTGATATTTGGAAGGAGTTTGTCGTCACATCAACCAGTACATCCAAATCCAAATCTCTTTGCTGCACTGCAATTTGCAAACACTGCACCTTTAAATATGAGTTTGCTAATGCTACGCGTCTGTCTCAACACATTGCATATGAGTGCAAACAATGTCCAGAAACCCTGAGGACACAAATCCAAAAAGTAGTGAAAGTAATTTTTTATTTTATGCATTTTATTGAATGAAATATTTTTATACTTGATTGTATCATAATTTCCATCTTGTTTATATTACTCTCTTTTCAGATTGCAAGTTATTCTAAGAAGAAATTTCAGAGAATAGTAATAGAGAGTGATGAGGATGAAAATGGTAATCTTGTCGTGATCTCACACTCCACACCCACACCCTCACCTTCAACATCACGGCCATCTTCGGCAGCTTCCATTGCTAGCAGCTCAGCGCAATCTATTCAACTGGCCAATCCTACTCCATCTACTAGTTCTGGCTCAAAAATTCAAACAATGGACAGATATACGTGTTTCACTTCTGATAAACAAAAAAAAAGAATTGATGAGGCATTAGCACGAGCCATGTATATGAGTGGTTGTCCTTTAAGCCTTTTAAATAGTTTATACTGGAAAGCAACTTTTCGTGAATTGCGCCCATCATACCAGATTCCAACTTCTTACCATTTTAGTACCTCATTACTGAATGCTGAATATGATTTAGTAATGCACTGTGTTGAGACAAAAATTCAGGCGGCACTTTGTTTGGGAATTATAACTGATGGATGGACTAATATAAGACACAAAAGTTTGATTAACTTCTTGTTAACTACTCCAGAGCCAGTGTTTCTAAAATCAGTTTGTCGAGGCAAAGAAAAGGAAACGGGCAAATTTCTGGCCAATTTGCTTTTTGAGCTAATAGATGAGATAAAAAGCAAAGGTGTTAGTAAGACTAAGTTTTTTATCTTAATTACTGACAATGACTCCAAAATGCGTGCCGCCTGGGCCATATTTAATGAGAATACCCTTATATTGTGTGTATTGGTTGTGCAGCTCATACTTTGAATTTGCTGTTTCGAGACATAATGGAAATTGTAAGTGTAAATAATATAAGGAAAGACTGTAAAACTGTGATAAAAAGTGTGAGGAATCATCATGTTACTCATGCTGTGTTCAAAGGGGAACAACAAGAACGATATGGTAATAAAGCCATTTCGTTGAAACTGCCTCCTAAAACCCGTTGGTTTTACTTTGTAATTTCTATGCATACTTTGAAAGCTAACAAAGCAGCATTGCAATCTACAGTGATTGATGAACAAA